GGAAACCCTGTTGGGCAGTTCTAGTCTCTAAGAGTTGGAATCAACCTGATGTCAGGGGGTTTGTTTTGTTTTATGTCAGATGTTTTATTTTGAAAAAGTATATAAACAAATATTTTAAATTTGTGTCAACTGCTATATAATTTTGGCTAAATAGTGTTTTGCGGGCTCCCCAGACATTTGAAAACTACGTAGTTTTATAATGGAATTGGAAAGTATTTTTGGATCAGTTTGCAAATAAAAGTGAACATAGGGTAGAGTATGATTTCAGTTGATTACCATCCAGTGTTACCAAGATATTATTTAAGAAGACATCATTGTAAATAAAACCCCAAAACCAAACCTACTGCTGTAAAATTAATTTTGACTCATAGTGACCCTATATAGGACAGGGTAGAAGTGCCCCCATACAGTTTTCAGGGGTATAATCTTTATGGACGCAGACTGCCACATCTTTCTCCTGCAGCTGGTGGGTGGGTGCAAACCACCCACCTTTCAAGTTAGCAGGTGAGCACTTAACCACTGTGCCACTAAGGTCCCTTCATTGTAAATAAATTGCTGAAAATTAGCAGGTGAAGTGAAAATATTTTTGTATGGAATTTACAGAATATATTTGAGAACACTAATAGTGAGTACTTTCTGGCCAAGGGATTCATCCAAGTAGTGCTTTTGTTTTCTGACTTTTATGTGATTTTCATTTCATTTGAAATATTTTTGTCCTTTGAAGAAAAATGACTATTATACTGACAGACTCATTGAAATATTAGTAAAAGGGAAAAATCTAATAAAATGGCTTTGAATTAAAGAATATTTTTAAGACTCAAATTACTAATAAAGCTATACACCATGGATATTATTATATACTATGGGTATTATTTTGTCTTCTCTTGTCTTTTGGTTTGCTTACAACTGATGTTGAGGCCTTAAAATTAGTTTATGGCTAAATATTACAAAATTAAATTTAGTATATAGCTAAAAATAGAATTCATCTTTATTTCTCAAAAAAAAATTGTAGTATTTGTTACTGTTATGATACTTAAAAACTGCCTTCTGCTAGTTTTAGAAAGAGTTCTATAGAAAAATTAAATCGATACAGTATTACTAAATTGAATTATCATCATTTTTTTTACTTTTAAGTCATCTATTTTTTGCTTACCTCAAAGCTTTTTGGTAAAAGGCAAGTAAGATAAAAATTTAAAAATGAAAGGATAGAAAAATTAAGACAAAGAAGAAGTAAGATTTGATAAGGTGACCTTAACATATGTAATGTTTGCCTTATACTCTACTTCTAATGGAGTTTGCGTTAAGCATTTTAGCAGCCAATAGAAAGTGGAAGAAGACAAGATCATTTAAAAGATTAATGTCTATAAAAACAAACTAGTTACTCAGAAAATGTACAATTATTACTGATAGAGAGATCAGAAGGAAATTTATACATTGGGAACCCAAAATAGTAAACATTTTGTAATGTTATAAGCAAAAGCCTCCTGAATAGGAGTTTGATCAGGCTGTTTTATACAGTGCTGTCAAAGCAACTAGTGCTAAAGTACAGTACCCAAACACAGTTCAATAAAGAAATTAGTGATACAGCTCAGATGTACAATTCTCTCTGGTCCTTGGTTTACTCTAGGGAAGTTGTTATCCAGTGCCTCTCTGACAGAAATATACCACAAATGGGATGGCCTTAACAAACAGGAGTTTATTCTCTTACAGTTTGGAGGCTTTAAGTCTGAGTTCAAAGTGCTGGGCTCTAGGAGCTGGATGAAAGCCCCTCGACCCTGGGCTTCACCTCTACCTCTTGCTCCTGGCCCATTGAAGCTAGAGGTTTTCTTCACTCAGACAGCTGCTACCTGCTGAGGCTGACAAGCCCAAGGTTGACAAGTAAAAAGGCACAGTCCCAATGTTACCAAACAGCATGGCAGGCCACTAATTCAAATCCAGATGAAGTCCCAAGATCAGCAGGGCATGGCAGGCTATTGAACAGCGACATGACTACATGCAGGGTTCAAGCATGCCAAAAGGCTGGAGACCATTCCCAAGGCTTCTCCTTATATATAGGAAGCAGACCACATCCCTAAGGCAGCTACTTAGCTGCTCCCAATATAGTCTACCATGGAGTTGATTGGCAATCTCATCATGGGGAATACTACATCCAGCTACCTAGCTACTCAACCAGGACCAGCCAAGTTGACACACAAACTTAACTACCACAGAAGTATTAGATTGTATCTAGCAAAACAGTTCTTGATTCAGGGGCTAAAACCACTCTATTTTCTCATGAAGACAAACTGTACAAAAATATGCCTAGCCTTGTGCCTAGATACACTGATTCAGTTATATATTTTTGTAGTCTATTGTCATTGAGTGACAATGATTAATATTAATGTATGCTAAAAGGTTGGGCAATCCTACTTCCGTAGTGATACTGCCTCGGAAACCCAAGGAGGGGTCGCTATGAGTCGGGGCCGACTCGACGGCACATAACAACAACAACAATATTCTTATGTTCCAGCTACTATGGTAAGTACTTTGAATGACTCATTTAAATATCTGATACCTGTCTGTGGCAGAAGCTTCCTTTGGACTTTTTATAATAGATATTATTACATACAAATCATATAGTGGTTCAGATGGATGACACAACATAAAATATAATTCAGACATTCATTTCCTAGCCTTACTACACTGCTTTATTTCCTTTCATTATTAAGCATACAGTTAAAACATTATTACACTGCTTTATTTCCTTTCATTATTAAGCATACAGTTAAAACATTATAATTTCAGGTGTCATTGTGAAATAACATACTTGTTAGTATTGGGTTATATTGTCTTTTATATTGCTTGATGAGAGAAATTCTTTAAGTATGGGTTAGTAATATTCTGTAAGACTTATACATGTCTAAAAAAATGCCTTTTAATAGATTTGAGGAAACATGAAAAGGGTCAATTCATTATATATATTTATTATATAATTATAATATAGCATTATATTATTATATATTTATTTATTTATTTATTTATTGTGCTTTAGGTGTAAGTATACAGAGTATTTTTCTGTATTTTTTAAAATTCCAGATCAGTATGTATGGGATTTATAATACTCTGTGCAATTATGATTGACTTCAATTTTTTTTTCCCATTGTGGACTCCACTTTCTACAAAGGTCAACTTTGCCTCAAAATCAACAAACTTACCAACTCTTCGTCTAAGATTGGTTCCTGTGTGTCAAGTCAGTTGGAGTTAAGCACAGCACATACAAGCTGAAAAGCCAAATAAGGAAATGAATACCTTCTCTTGACAGTTCTAATTTTACTGTAAGTTAAATTTAGTTAGATTAAAATAGTTTAAATGTTTAATTACACACCATAGTTTAAGTAACAGAGATAATTACAGTAGAAAATGATTAAAAGTTTTCAGAACATATTTGACGGCTAAACAGAAGGTTGGTGGTTCAAACCCACCAGACGCTTCTTGGAAGGAAGACTGGGCAATCTACTTCCATGGAGATACTGCCTTGGAAACCCAAGGAGGGGCTGCTATGAGTCGGATTTGACTCAACGGCAGTGAGTTTGATTTTTTGAGTTAGTCTTACATCTAATATAGCTTAGTGCATATTTACTGTACCATAAGACATTTGGCAAGCCCCATAACACATCTGTAAAGCTATTTCTGTCAGTTCAAGTTAACATTGTGGCGGTTATTAATTTGCCTTTATATATAGCTAAAATTCCGAATTATCTGGCATACATTTTTTCTTGGTTGTGTATATTTACAAAGACATGCCCATGAACAGTCTGGGGAATTGTACAGCTTCCTTGGAGGCCAGAATAGTATTTTCCTCTCATCACTGGAAACATTCCATAGTTTTTTGGCTAGCACTCTGGAGTCTATCTGGAATTTGAGTTAAGTCCATCTGCTGGTGATGTTTATAGGATCAGAAACAAAAGCAATAGTCCCATCCAGATGAGGTTAATGATATGTAGCCATTGATCTTGTTGCTGATTTATCGATTTTTCTTAACTATTTGGTATATTTTTATATCTTTCACTTTGGCTCTTTTTAAGGCCGAAAATATGAAAAATACATAAGAATGAATGCATGTAAAAGACATAGAAAGGAAATGTCATACCTTTGCCCTATTGTTTGGAAGGTTATTTAATTATGTATTTTATAAGCAAATGTGTTATTTTGCCTTAGTTTCCTGTTGTAAATTCTACAGCTAAGAAGTTTATGAGTAACATAGTAGTCTATCACATGTTCAAAAGAAATTAAAGACTATTATTTAGCTTTTATGTGTAAAGAACTGCAGCTCCAAATAATCCTTATTTTTATATTATAGACCAATAAACCATGAAACGATTTTCATTACAATATTCCCTAAAAGGAAAAGAAATGCTAATTTGATTTAGTATATTTTTTTTTTCAAAAGAAGCTATAATACAACATTTTATGAAATTTTTCTGTTTTTTATAGTTATCCAGGAGCTCTGGTGGCATAGTGCCTAAGGTATTTGACTGCTAACCAGAAGGCTGGCAGTTCAAACCCACCAGCCACTCCTCGGAAGGAAGATTGAGCAATCTACTTCCATAGAGATACTGCCTTGGAAACCCAAGGAGGGGTCGCTGTGAGTCAGAGAGACCAATAAAACATGAAACAATTTTCTTTACATATTCCATAAAAGGAAAAGAAATACTAATTTGATTTAGTATATATTTTTATAAAGAAGCTATAATACAGCATTTCATGAAATTTTTCTTTTTATAGTTATCCATTTTCAAGATTTGATTTTTCATTTTCTTGAAATTTGAAACGATATTAAAAGGATAATAAGCAATATATGAGAATTTGGGTTGGAATGCTTTTTTTAAATGTCCTACAAATTTGGAAGGTTTTAAAACATGTATTGTGAGCGTGTTACATTCATTCTTGTCAGGATTTTGATAGTCTTTTGAAAGAGTAACCAAGTATCTTTTTTGTTTTTATGTTTTGTAAAGGGATAAAGCCAGGTTGGCTTGGGCAGAAAAGTGAAAAGACAATGCTCTACTTTCACCGATGTCAGCATCTGAAACAAATAACACAGAAATGTTTTTCTAGTATACATGTTAAAACAAATGAACATGTACAGCTAATTCTTTCAAGAAAATTTGCACTTACAGAATTAAAGAAGTCATGGCTTTCAACTCACACTCTTGTTGGAGACAAAAATATTATCCTGATGGGACCTCCTGGTGCTGGGAAAACAACAGTAGGCAGAATAATAGGTCAGAAACTAGGTTGTTGTGTCATAGATGTGGATGATGATATCCTTGAAAAAACCTGGAATATGAGTGTGTCTCAGAAACTACAGGATGTTGGTAATGAGCAATTTTTAGAAGAGGAAGGAAAAGCTGTGTTAAATTTCTCTGCATCAGGAAGTGTGATTTCCCTCACTGGGTCCAATCCAATGCATGATGCTAGCATGTGGCATCTGAAGAAAAACGGAATAATTGTATACTTGGATGTACCTCTAATGGATATAATTAATCGTCTGAAATCAATGAAGATAAATAGAATTGTAGGTCAGAATTTTGGAACACCTATGAAAGACTTACTTACATTTAGAAGACAGTATTATAAAAAGTGGTACGATACTCGTGTTTTTTGTGAAAGTGGGGCTTCTCCAGAGGAGGTAGCTGACAAAGTGCTGAATGCAGTTAAAAGATACCAAGATGTGGATTCAGAAACATTCATTTCAACAAGACATATTTGGACTAAAGACTGTAAGCAGAAGAATTCAACAAAATTCTTTAGTGAAGCTGTGATTGAAGGGTTGGCTTCTGACGGTGGACTCTTTGTTCCTGAGAAGGAGTTCCCAAAATTAAGCTCTGGGGAGTGGAAAGGCCTAGTGGGAGCAACCTATGTAGAAAGAGCACAAATTCTGTTGGAAAGGTGTATACATCCTGCTGACATACCTGCTGCTAGATTAGGAGAAATGATTGAAACTGCTTATGGGAAAAACTTTGCTTGCTCTAAAATTGCCCCTGTCAGGCACCTTTCAGGCAACCAGTTTATCCTGGAGCTGTTTCATGGACCAACAGGATCATTTAAAGATTTGTCTTTACAGCTTATGCCTCATCTCTTTGCACACTGTATTCCACCAAACTGCAACTATATGGTACTTGTAGCTACTTCAGGAGACACAGGGAGTGCAGTCTTAAATGGTTTTAGTCATCTTAATAACAATGACAAGAAAAGAATAGCTGTGGTCACATTTTTTCCTGAGACTGGAGTAAGTGATTTTCAAAAGGCACAAATAATTGGCAGTCAAAAAGAAAATGGATGGGCAGTGGCTGTCAAGTCAGATTTTGATTTTTGTCAGACAGCTGTTAAAAGAATTTTTAAAGATTCTGATTTTACTGGCTTTCTTCTTATTGAATATGGAACAATCTTGAGTTCAGCTAATTCTATAAACTGGGCCCGACTACTTCCCCAGGTCATTTATCATGCTTCTGCGTATCTTGATCTTGTTAGCCAAGGATTTATTTCTTTTGGGAGCCCAGTAGATGTCTGTATTCCCACAGGAAACTTTGGTAACATATTAGCAGCAGTTTATTCCAAAATGATGGGAATCCCTATTCGAAAATTTATTTGTGCTTCTAATCAGAACCATGTTTTGACTGATTTTATTAAAACAGGACATTATGACCTAAGGGAAAGGAAATTAGTGCAAACCTTTTCACCAGCAATAGATATTCTCCAATCTTCAAACTTGGAACGACATTTATACTTCATGGCTAATAAAGATGGACAATTAATGACAAAGTTGTTTAATCAATTAGAAGATCAGCATCACTTCCAGATAGAAAAGATTCTAGTTGAGAAGCTTCAGCAGGATTTTGTAGCAGACTGGTGTTCTGAGGAAGACTGCCTAGCAGCTATTAACTCTACCTATAATACTTCGGGGTATATCTTGGACCCACACACTGCTGTTGCAAAAGTGGTTGCAGATAGAATACAAGACAGAACTTGCCCAGTGATTGTCTCATCTACAGCTCATTACTCTAAGTTTGCACCTGCTATCATGCAGGCTTTAAAGATTAAAGAAATCAACCATACTTCATCAAGTCAGCTTTATTTACTGAGTTCATACAATGCTTTACCTCCACCACATGGGGCTTTATTAGAGAGAACAAAACAGCAGGAGAAGATGGAGTGTCAGGTCTGTAAAGCTGATGTGAATGTCCTGAAGAGTCATGTGGAAAGATTCATACAAAATCAGTTCAGATGAAAGTTTTCTGAGTAAGATATTTCTTTTTTTCCTGATGATAAGCATGCAATAATAAATATCTCAAAAGTTGATCTGAAGTACAACATTTTGTTTTCTTAAGTAAATATAATTTTTAATTTCAATAGTTTAATCTCTAGCACTGAACATTGTACTTGCACATGCTCCTTAAAATCTTTATTTAGAAGTGACAAAATTTAGCATAGTGCATGGACCCTTGTGCTACTTTGCTTTGCACTTAAGAGGGTTATATCAGTTTCCTCTCCTTCACCTTTGCTTTTAAGTGAACCAAATGTCTGGTATCTATTAATGATTTGGAAATTAAATTATTTAAGAACAGTTGTTAAATATATGTAACTATATTCTAGTTTTCTATTGAGTAAAAAGTTAATTTACCACTCAGAATGGCTGATTTGTATGGAGGAACCCAAAACTCCACTGATGTTGAGTTAGTTCTGACTCAGCAACCCTATAGGGCAAACTAACCCCCAGGGTTTCCTAGGCTGAAGTCTTTATGTAAGCAGACTGCCATACCTTTCTCCCTCAGAGGACCTGGTGGGTTCAAACCACTGACCTTTTGGTTAGCAGCTATGCATTAGTGCTTTTACTTCTGCACCACCTGGGCTTCTTATGGAGGAAGTTCATCTACTACGATTAAAAAAAAAAAACAAATTCACTGCCATCGAGTCAAATCTGACTCATAGCGACCCCTCCTTGGGTTTCTGAGGTGGTATCTCTATGGAAGTAGATTGCCTAGTCTTCCTTCTGAGGAATGGCTGGTGTGTTTGAACCGCCAGTCTTCTGGTTAGCAGTCAAATGCCTTAGGCACTATGCTACCAGAGCTAGTGTTTTTAATCTTCCTCAAGCTCCATTTTGGACTTCAGTTAACTATGTGTATCATATACAGTCAAAATTAGATAAGTATTCTGTTCTAAACTCCACTTTGGATATTTAGAGTGAAAAGCAAGACACATTGCAATCCAGGATGTAATAATCAGTAGGAACCCTGGTAGCACAGTAGTTAAGCCCTTGGCTGCTATCTGAAAAGTCAGCAGTTGGAACCCACCAGCCACTCTGCGGGAGAAAGTTATGGCAGTCTGCTTCCATAAAGATTTCAGTCTTGGAAACCCCACGAGCAGTTATACTCTGTCCTGTAGGGTTCTATCCAAGTATGTTCTGTCCAAACCCAAAACCAAACTCCCTGCCATCCAGTAGGAGAGTATAGAACTGCCCTATAGGGTTTCCAAAGCTGTAAGTCTTTAAGGAAGTAAACTTTCTCATGCAGAGCAGCTGGTGGTTTTGAACTGCCAACCGTTTGGTTAGCAGCCGAACACTTTAACCATTGCACCACCAGGGGTCCTTGCTATGTCTTTTAGAGTTGTATTTATAAAATGAAAAATTGTTACCACTTTTCAAGCTATGTTTATAATTTCTAGCTTTCACTATCTTTGCAATTACTTGGAATTGACAGCAACAAGTTTTTATAATCAATAGAACAACTTTGTATTAAATAAAAAAAATTTACCTTATTTCAAGAGGAACATTTTCCAAAATTAAGAGTGTTTGAATAGTCTTAATAGAAGTATAGAACAAGTATACTTACAGACAACAGTTTTCCTATATTATCTGGGGTCCACTCCTATGTAAGTTATCTGCGGTCTCTTGTTAATGAATGTTGTATTTTTTGACAACTAAAATCACACACAACAGATGCATATATTTTCATTTTTATTCCTTGATAGTATTAATGCATTTTAGTCATGATTTACACTTGGGAATTTACTGAATATTTTATTTTTGAATTAAAGATTGTCATTGAAAGGACCTCTAAGTGTAATGGACTACTCTCAACCACAAGATGGCATTCCTAACATAGTTTGTCTTTGTTGATAACACTGCTTCATTTTCTGGGAGAACTACATACATGAAGAAATATCTTACAAATTATAATGAGAAAAAAATATCTTAATGAGCAGGAGCAATTTGTTTGAAATGTTTAAAAACTTAAACCATTATACATTAATATCTGATGTGTCGCTGAGTTTCTAAAACTAAATATTGAAAACCAGAAACAATTACAAGAAAACAATGGCAGATTCAAAGTTCTGTACTCATCCATGTATGTCTTTATTCTTGCATCATTTATTTTGAGGATAATTTGTTTCAATAGAAAATATATTTAAGGAGCAGTATTTTTTTTTTTAAAAAAAGACATGATTTCTGTCCTTAAGAACTGTAGTTCTTAAGAACTGTAGCTCTTAAGGAGACAACACATGAAAATTAAATCATGTATGACACAAAAGTGTTGTTGTTAAGATAGTGTGTGATTAAGTGAAAATGAGTGATACAGTCAACTGCTGTAAAATGTAAAAGGAAAGGATTACCATGGAGTAGTCAGAAAAGGTATCACAGAAGAGGTAGTATCCAAGGGGAGTCTTGAAGGATGGACAGATTTTCTAGGTGTAAAGGAGGGGAAAGAGATTCTAGGCAAAGAGGCAAGGGTAACAGGTAAGGTGAAATGCCCAAGTCCATTTACACTTATCTATGGACTAAGGTGCGCCTGACACAAGCCATGATATTTCCAATCGCCTGGTATGCATGTGAGAGCTGGACAATGAATAGGGAAGACTGAAGAAGAGTTGATGCTTTTGAGTTGTGGTGCTGGCGAAGAATGCTGAAGGTACCATGGACTGCTAAGAGAACTAACAGATCTGTCCTGGAGGAAGTGCAGCCAGAATGCTCCTTGGAAGCAAGAATGGCCAGACTTTGTCTCACCTATTTTGGTCATGTTGTAAGAAGGGACCATTCCCTGGAGAAGGATGTCATGTTTGGTAGGGTGGAGGGTCGACGAAAGAGGGGGAGGCCTTCAGGGAGATGGATTGATACAGTGGCTGCGATGAGGGCTCGAGTATAGCATGGATTGTGGGGCTGGCGCGGGATCGGGCAGTGTTTCGTTCTGCTGTGCATGGGGTCGCTATGAGTCGGAAACGACTCGACGGCACTTAACAACAACAACAACAATGGTCAGTTTGTTCTTTCACTGGCCAAAACAGTTACTCAGTTTTTCTTAAAACCAACTCTGGCTAATAACCTTGCCCCATTCAAGAGGAACAAGTTATCAAATATGACCTACCTCAGCTTCCAATAGGAGCTCTGGTAGCATAGTGTCTAAGGCACTTGACTGCTAACCAGAAGGCTGGCGGTTCAAACCCACCAGCCACTCCTTGGAAGGAAGATGGGGCAATCTACTTCCGTAGTGATACTGCTTCGGAAACCCAAGGAGGGGTCTAACTCGATGGCACATAACAACAACAACAACAGCTTCCAAAAATCTGCACTGCTTTGTATCCCTTCCTCTTCCCTTGATCGAACTGAGTAGGAGCTTTTCTCCTTTCAAAAGGTAATATCTCCAGGTGGGTCCTCTTCAGCTTACTCAGATAACTTATTTCAGAGTTATACTCTCTCCTATTTCTTGAATTCTCCCCCTTTAATGGAACCTTTTTTCCTATTGCACTTCCAAACCCACTGCCATTGAGTTGATTCTTACTAGTAGTGACCCTTTGTTGTTGTTGTTATGTGCTGTCAAGTCATACCCGACTCATAGTGACTCCTCCTTGGGTTTCCAAGGCAGTATCACTACAGAAGTAGATGCCCCCATCTTCCTTCCGAGGAGTGGCTGGCAGGTTTGAACCACCACCCTTCTGGTTAGCAGTCAAGTGCCTTAGGCACTACACTACCAGCGCTCCTAGTGACCCTTTAGGGCAGAGTAAAACTGCCCCATAATTTTCCAAGGCTGTAAGTCTTTATAGAAGCAGATTGCCTCATCTCCCATGGAACAGCTGGTGGTTTCAAACTAACAACCTTTTGGTTAGTATCTAACTGCTTTAACCACTATGCCACCAGAGCTCCTTCCTATGGCACTTAGATACCCTTTTTAAATATCTTAAAATCCTAAGAGCAAAGGGAAATCTTTCTGAATATCCACATCTCCCTCTACCGCCCATCTACTCTCATTTCTTTACGCTCCAGTTAAGGTCTCAAAAGAGTGGTCTACATATATTGTCTCTATTGTCTTTCATTTCCACCAGCGTATATAAAATATATATACACTTTAAGAATGAATAATAAAATAAATACCTATGTACTTATCACTTGGCTTAACAGTAGAACATTTCTCACCCCTTTGATGCCCACTGTGGCACTTTGATTACATTCCCTTCTTTCCCCTATCTAAATTTTCTGTTAATCACTGGTTGGTTTGTATTATAGTTTTGCATTGTATAATTTTGCCTCTTCTTGCATTTCATATAAATAGCATCATAATGCAGGTATTTTTCCATGACCTACTTCTTTTGCTTAAAAAATTTAAGATCTATCCATGCAGATGAGATAAACTACAGTTCATTGATTTTTATCACTCTATTGTAGGAATATTGCAATCTATTCAGTTATTGATTAGTAGACATTTGGGTGTAAGTTTTATCTCTTCTTGTACCCTATAGATACACTGTTTTTTAAAATCTGTGTTTAAGGTCAATGAATATGGACTTCCAAACATTTTTTGATTCTTCCTAATGACTTGTGAAAATAGTTTTCATATCCTGGAATTATTAAGATAAAAATATATGCTGTATTTATAAAATGAAAAATTAAGAATTTTCAACCTATGGTTATAATTTCTAGCTTTCACTATCTTTAAAACTATTTACAGATACCATAAATACAGTGAATTTGTCAGATTTCTGAGGGAAAAAAACTGGTGTATGTATTAATGGAAATTGTAAAATATGTTTCCATGAAAATAGTTTAGAAGGTAATGAATTATTTTCTTTTTGGTTAGATTTGAATAACAATTCACTTTCAAAAGCCATCATTGATGGCAAGTATTTCTTAAATCCATTAAATCTGATTCATTTATAAACAGCAATTAAGACTACTTATGTTAGTGAAAAAAAATGAAGTAGCTGTTTTCTTGTGAACCTCAAACCCATGAAAATGGTTTTTGGCACCACTCAGCAACGTGAATAAAATCTACCTGTGAAAGAGTTACTCGTGTGGGACCTTATCTATGGTTAGTC